TATATATATATATCCAGCTGAAAACCTATACCGGTACAGTACACAAAGGTATGTGGAGCTGTGTCTCTTAAAATAACCAATCCTGTATGCAATCAGAAAGTTTATGAGAAAGTTGAACAGAGGCATATCTGCATTGCATCTCTCAATACAGTACTAAACTGGTTGCACACTAAATGTTGGAATCTAGATAAACCGAGACCTGTTTGGAGATATTTGGGGATCACAGGACTGGCGGTGTGGCGTAACAATCTTTGAAATTTACCAGGGTTTCCACTCTGTGGTGGGGAACCCAACAATACTCTGGGGTTATACCTTGTCCCAAGCCCCAGACTTTTGTTGGCCATCTTGCTTTGCATGCAAATGTGGAAAAAATATAAAGAACAGCATGTGAAAAAAGGAAACTAATTAATACTGAACACCTTACTCAGTGAGCCTCACTTTCATATCTGCTTTAGGCCCTTCATTTTGTGCTTTACCCATACCACACAGTACAGAGATTCAGTGTATGGGGATTTTCGCCCAGGGCCCCAGTTTGTCTGGAGGCACTGAGAACAGAGGCACTTTCAAGTTAAAAACCATGGTGTGCAGGCACATAAAGTTAGTTTAATTTGTAAGTATATATCTAAATAAAATACATTGGCACATGTTCTGGTACATTTACTATGGTATGTAATATGCAATGTTATGGTAGGCATGGTATGCAATAACAATGTTATTGTGTGCTGTATTTCCAGTTGCCACCAGTGGATACCTCACTGCAGCAGTATTCACTATGATTTATTAGCAGCTACTGAAATTGAGATTAATATTTTTTTTTTGTGCTTCCCCTCTATTGGCATAGCGCCCTGCTTTTTCAGATTCCTGCACGCTGGGTTTCTGGATCTGTGACTGTAGTATCTATAGTTCTCTATATTGCTTTACATTGCATCTACCTTGCTGTACCATGCAATTGTGTATCCTTGAGTCTGTGGTTGTTTTGCTCTTCCTGTGTTACATGTTTAGTTTTGTATGTGTTTTTGTTTTTTAATTCGGTTCTCATATGTTTATCTCTTGGTTTTATCCTAGAAGAGTGAGGTGCAAAGGTGAACTTGCACCTTAAATTGAATCTGTGCTTACCCATACAGGTCGAAGCAACAGGTTCCTACTGTTGTTGTTTTCATTTAAATAATGGTCAGCTATAAAAAAAGAAATCCCATTGGACACCATCCCCCTTTTTCCCATGTGTATTCATTTAACACTTGTTTAATCTAGGGGGATATAATACAGAGGAATACTTAGCCTTTTCCTCGCCCTGCCCCACGGGAAGTTGGCAGTCTTCCTGCCATAAATGTCATGTTTAAGGCCCTTCCTGTTATAGGGTGACAGCGCTCAAGCCTTGTCTCCCAGTTGCTCTCCTGCGCTGTCCCCATCACATGTATTTCTAGTGAAGACTATAAGCAAACATGCTGATGCTCCATGCACAAGCATGTTCCTTCCTTTTCACAACAGGAAGCTTATCCTGAACAATGTAGTTGCTGCAAAAGTGCATGCATGTAGACAGGAAGTGGCTGCAAAGAGGTTTCAGGAAGCCAGAAACCCTGAGATACAAAACAGGATCAAAAAAGGTGGAAAAATAATTTTCTAAAAGAACAAGGAATTGTTTATGACACATGTTGATTTAGCAAACTAAATGGCATCTGTTTGTCGGTTATATCTACTTTAAAACTAGAGTTTTGTTCTTCTGTGCCTAAATTTCCTTCTGTAGTTTTTATCAATCAGCCCGACTGATGTAAAATGTATTTTATTCCACAAAACTATACATCATCAAGAAAAGCACATATGATGGGTTCCTCTCCTTCGCCCTCACTGAAACCCCCTACACTTTTCTTGTTTTTTAAAAAACAGCTTTGTGCAGACCTTTAGGTGCCTTCCAGCCAGTCATGTGGCATCACGGGTACTTCCTTTTCTTGTACAGGGGTAATGTGAGTGGTACTCATTCATGCACAAAATGGCACTCACATAATGATGTCTGAGTTAGGTTCTGTGCAACTGTACTGTAAGCCCAGGGGCTATGCCCATGATGACCCAGATTCACAGGAAGTGGATTGGGTGATGATGTGCATCATTTAACCTGAAAAAGCACTATAGCTCGATCACAGAATGGTGGTTCTGGTCGAATAGCACCAGAGAAAATTTGGGTATTGCAAGTTGCTGGGCACCTTACTTTTAAGATAAAGAAAAAAAAAATCATAGACTTGGGCTTTTAAAAAAAATAAAAAAAATATGTACAGGACAACATTTCTAAACACAATGATAAAATACACCATTGACAAAATGTTTATTGTTTGCTGTAGAAGTGGAAAATTGTAAATGACAGTATTTACCTGTCCAAGGCGATGGCAGCAAAACTGAGGATGGTCACGGAGCAGAAGACTTTGTGCAGGAATTTGATGGTCTTACAGAAGAGCAGGGTGTAAATCCACCAACAGCACTGAGGGTTGGCGCTGAGCACAATATCGAAAGGCACACACACCAAACTGGCACAGATGCCAGAACAAGCAAGGTTCTTCATAAACTGATTTGTCACAGATTTGAGTACGGTGGTTCGACAGGTTGACCAAAGGACAATAAAGTTCCCTGAAAACAGTAAAAATAAAAATGATTATGAAAACAGAATGATCAGACTTACAGCTTCAGCTTGGCTTGTAGTGGCTGTGGCGTCCTGTATCCTTGAGAAAGATAAGCTTAAATTTGACTGAGCTTGCCAGCAGCCATGACATTTAATTCATTTTAGGATCTTGTGTGGACGTACAATAAGAGGTATTGCTAAAATCAATGTTTTGCACATTAATGACTATGTGTATTTGTTTAAAGATGGCAATACATGTTACAGAGCAATCGAACAATCTTATTTTAGCTGGACAAACAAAATCTGATGGTACAATCTCTGTACAATCTCCTCGTGGGGGACCCACGTAAACAATCCATTCAGTGTGTATCCAATCAGGAAGGTGCTAGTATTACATATCTGTTGGAGATTATACAATCAGATTGCAACAAATATTGTTAGTATTAGATGTACCAACAACCATATTTGAGCGGGTCTACTTGATTAGATATAAATTAGATGTATTGCCTAGGTTCCCCTTACACTACATTGTTGTTAGTACATCTAAAGGTGGTTGCGTATGTTTAAATGTTCAGTGTTCAGTGCACCAATATAGTTTGGGTACAGCTGTGATGTTCTGTCTTCTCCACACTGATACATATTCATGAAACATATTCAAGTCAGTAATTGTAGGGAGATGCGGCTGGAGTGTGGCCATAGAATGGCAAACATGGCACACAATAAACCCCTTTCTGTTCATGTAGGTTCTTGTTTTACTGAAAAAAATGAAGTGAGGTGAAATAATGTGATATGAGATGATGTGAAGTGGCCCTGGGGAGTTTTAAAAAATCTAGGATATATACAGATACATATGTAATTACTGTGCTGCCTGTTTGCAAATACGTGATTGCACTGTTGAACTGAATGCCATCTAATCAGTTTTAAATAGGATTTGCAGGCTAAGTGTACAGTGATGTGGTCAAGAACCCAGATCCTACAGTGGATGCTTCAGAATCTCTTTTAGTGCAGGAAAAGAACACATAGACAGAGCCCCACCTCTAAGTGAAATAACGTTTATTCAAGATAATTTAAAAAAAGCAAATGTACTCACAAAGGTATGAGAAAGAGCGTCTTGAATGATCATGGATGGTTGCTTCCCCGCCACCAGAAACACTCAAAAAACAGTCCATTCCCTGGTATAGCTAAGCCCAAGCACACAGCGGCCAGTTATGTGACCATTCAGACCGGCGGTGTGATAAACTTACCTCGCAGCGTTCCATAGTGAACGTCCGCTGCCGTCCACTCTCGTGACGTCACGGTAACCCACCTTCCACAGCCGGCTGTCAAATTTACGGTGCGGGATTTGAATTGCTCGGCGTCTTCTCAATGTTGCAGGCGCTGAGCAATATCCCCTGCCGACACCTCCTCTTGTCATCCTGAATCCTCCTTCACACTGCTGACAACTTACTTCCTGTACTTAAAAGAGAGACTCCAAACAGTAGGAGCAACAAAATTGAGGACAAAAAGTCCCAGGAGAGATCCGACTAAGTGTAGTATTTTATAATGCAAAGCTGTAGATATGTTTTGCATAAATGTAGAAGAAAGAGTGTGATACTCACATAGATAGGTTGCGAGAAATCCCCTTTGGGCATATCGGGCAACCTAAGGTGCAAAAAGGCATGCAGGGAATATTCGTGTCCCTGCACAGGATGGTTGGTCTCAATGCTCCTCAAAGCTCTGCAGCTAGAGAGACCCGACGTGTACTAGAGAGATGAGAGAAGAATGTCCCAAAAAAAGGTAGGTGCAAGACAGTAGAGGTGCCCACGTGAAAGAGATAAAATGATGATCTTTCTTCAATTTAGAGTTTTATTCCAAAAAACACACACATAACAATCACAGTCTCAACACGTTTGAACCGCGTGTTTTTTGGAATAAAGATGAATAAATGTCACCAGCACACAACCAGTGTTGCAGTCCAAAGAGTTTGGTTATTGGAACATCATGCAATGACATTGCTGAGCCTGATGAAGGGGACCCTGCATGGCCCTCCCAAAGCGCTAGTTTTGTTTTTTTGTTCCAATAAACAAGCAAACTCTTTGGACTGCAATACTGGTTGTGTGCTTATGACATTTATTCATCTTTATGCTGTGTGGCGGCACCATCTGCAGGTCACTACAAGTACCCCCCTTCATTCAACTTTGGGTTTTTCCGGTAAGGAGTACGACAGGGTATCTTTTTGTTTGTCTAATTTTTTTGGAATAAAGTCTAAATTGAAGAAACACGATCATTTCATGTCTTCCACCTGGGCACCTCTGCTGTCTTGTACCTATGTTTTTTGGGGGCATTCTTGTCTCATCTCTCTACTGTATTGGACATAACTACTAGTGATGGGCCAAACACCCCCATATTCGGTTCAAATTCAAACTTTAGAACATGGAAAAGTAGGATATGGGGATTCGATCACAGCCCTGGGGGACATGTATCAATGATAATCATTTTTTTTTAAATTACCGTTTTTAAAGGAGTAGTGATTTTAACATCAATTAAAGTGAAACAATAAAAATAAAAAATTCCTTTAAATATCGTGCCTGGGGGGGTCCCCTTAACCTGTCTGTAAAGTGGCACAATGTGTAGAACCTGCTGCAGCAAAAAAAGACATTTCTAAAGAAAAAAATGACATTTAAAAAAAAAAAAAGCGTGCGGTTCCCCCTCCCTTTAGGTCTGGTAGGACTGTTAGGAGAGACCCCATTTTAAAAGAAAAAGCATGGGGTTCCCTTAAGGTCTGGTAGGAATTTTAGGAAGGACCTCTATTAAAAAAAAGGAAAAAAGTGTGTGGGGTTCCCCCTCAAAGTAATACCAGGCCCTTAAAGGAGAACTATAAGGTGAGTGCTTTTCACTCACCTCATAGTTCTAGCCGACCTGTGACAATGAGACTGTCACAGGTCGGCTCAGTAGATCGGGAGGTGAGCGAACATATACCGGTCTTCACTCACCTCTCGATCCTGTCACGGCTCTCTGCCGTGACAGGGGAGGGGCTGGATTCCCCCCTCCCCGCTCCAATCCGCCAGCGCTGACTGGCGGAACGGACGGGGAGGGGGGCGGGTACAGCTGGCTCTGCCTCTAGATAGGCAGAGCCAGCTGTCACTCACGCAGCTGGGCGGATCTCGACATCGATGTCGGGATCCGCTCCGGCGTCTCAGTATACCGCAAGCTGTAGCTGGCGATATACTGAGCTTAAGGTGACGGGAGGACGCTAGTTTGTGTCCTCCCGTTACCCTAAGGAGAACTATGGGGAAAAGCCCTGACCCCATAGTTCTCCTTTAAGATCTGGTAGGAATTGTAAGGAGGAACCCCACACTCTCTCCAAGTTATATCAAGACTTGTGTTAACCCTTTGTGGGATCTTATGAACTTATATTGACTTGTGAACAAAAGAAGAGACTTTGTGTTAATCCTTCGTAGCAGTTTATGTGTGTCACCACTCCTGCAGCTGAGATCCTATTCAAGTAATAGTACAAGTGCTCTATAGTGCTACAGGCAACTGACGTCTTCTATACCAGGGAGTGGACTGTTTTTTGAGTGTTTCTGGTGGCGGGGAAGCAACTATCCATGATCATTCAACACGCTCCGTCTCCTACCTTTGTGAGTACATTGGCTTGTTATTATTATATTGAATAAACATTATTCACTTAGAGGTGGTGCTCTGTCTATGTGTTCTTTTCCTGCGTGTTAACGGGTATCCCCGATCCCTGTAAGGAGCAGCCTTCTAAAGTGAGATTATCCTTTATGGTTGAAGGATCGCTAAAGCCCCACAGTCTGGTTTTCTGAACACCTGAATGAGTAGAGAGACTAAAAGATAATTAAATGTACACTTCAGTGAAACATGAAGATTTTGATTATAAACTAACTCAAGGGACACAGTCAATCAGTGCAAAAGCTTCTGTAGTTAAATCCCTATATCTGCCAGTATTAACATCTTCAGCATGGCCCTGGATCTGAACCTGTGAAAATGCTAGCTGTTATTATTCCTGGATGCAGTATCTGGTTTACTTCTCTAAATCCACTGCAGCTACACCCACACACACCTTGAAGAATGAAAAAGATGTTGCATGGATTCATGTGACAAGAGGTTTCAGTCTCTCCAAATCCAGAGAATGGAGTCTTTTAGAGTAAATGTAACGTTAGCTCACCAAGCTAACTCACCAAGGAGCTGCTGGATTGTTGAATCTTGTTAGAATACACAATACTGTGTTTATAGCAACAACTTCTGCAGTATACAATTTCGGTCACTAGATGACAGTGTTTATAAATTATGTTTTACAGTATCTATGGTATATGCTCTGTTGTATTGAATAAGATAGTGAATAAAGCTGTGGCTTCCTTCCTGTTTTATAGACATGTGCACTGGAAAAAAATTCATTTAGTTTAGTTTCGATTCGGATTTTGTGTTATTTTGTTTTTCAGGATTCGGGTGTGAAAGTCAAATCGGATTCGGAATTCTGATTCGGATGAAATTCGTTAGCGGTAGTTAGTTTGAATGTTTATTTAGTTTTTGTTTCTTATTCTTTTCGTTCATTCGTTCGTTCGTTGCAGCAAAGTGACATTTGAGGGGGACATTTTTTTTTCTCCTTCTCTAATGTCACTTTGCTGCAACGAACGAACGAACAAACAAGAAACGAAAACGAACGTTCGGACGAACTACCACTAATCAATTTCGGAAATGGACATTCGGATTCGTTTGCATTCGTTATATATCTGTCATTCGGAATTCGGATGCATCCGAATGTCCGAATTTCCGAAAATTCGTCCGAATTTCGTTTCGGAACGAAACGAAGCGCACATGTCTACTGTTTTAGCCAAGCCATGTCTAGCATGCATATCAGACTGTGTGCTTGTGTTTCTCCGTGAGCCTGTGCAAGAAGTTACAACAGATCTTCCTGCTGCTCCCAGAAGTAACCAGCCCTACCTGGACCCGACAACTCACAGACACACCAGTAGTAATACAGAAAGGCTTGTTTCAGCATTTAGAG